AGTGGGATAAGGGGATAGGTGATGAGTCCCCAGAGCCATGCCCGCAGCCCAGCGGCCCCAGAGATGACACAGCACCCTCCAGTGGTCCCTGTAGGTCTGTAGTGTGTCTAGTGCCCCTTAGTGGCCACCATTGGCCACTGCCACCCCAGCCCCAGCACAGCACCCCCCCGGGCCCCTTACAGTGCATGGTGACCCACACGCTCTGGTTAGCCACTCCGTAGTAGTTTTGGGCCTGGCACCAATACACCTTGCTATCCACAGTACTGAGGTTGTGAAGCTCCAGGTGCACTGCACCCCCTGGCCAGGGGCTCCCAGCATCTCGTTTCCCCAGGTCCAATGCACAGAGGCAGAGGGGTTGAGGGCGGCTCCCTCCTGGGCCAACACTGAGAGGAGTTCACCCGTGGCCCCCAACATGACCGGCTCTGGAAGGTAAGAGATGGTTAGGACCGACCCCCGCCCCCATGCACTGAGCCTCATACCAAGCGGCTTGGAGATGTGGCTGGCTCTGGGGGGCTGGCCTGGGGGTGGCTGGCTCTGGAGTGGAGCCTCCAGTGTGTCTCCCATCAGGACACCAAACAGCCATAGCATGGGGCAGGTTCCCTCTCCTCCAGTGCCTCCCAGTTCCCAGCCTCTTACCAGTGTGTCCATCCTTTTTCAGGATTCCATTGATCTCCGGGGTCCCGGGTGGGTTTGAGGCAAGGAAGCCACAGAGTGCAGGATCAGGCCGAGAACCTGGACACCTGGGTTCCCTCCAGCTCGGAGGGGATTGGGGTCCGGGTGTGAGAGCAGGGAGCCAGACACCTGGCAGTGCTGTGGGGGAGATGGGCTCTCACAGACGATCTGGAGCTGGGTACTGGCCTGGGTCATAATCCTCTTGACCCCGGCGTAGGAGACGCGGCAGACGAGGTCCCTCCCATCGTCTCCAAAGCCAGGCCTGAGGCCATGTTCAGAACTGTACATGGTGCCCCCTGTGTCCTGGTGCGTTGGGACCAGAGGCAGCTCTGAGGGCCCCGTCCAGGTCATGCTGTGGGGGGTCTCGGAGCAGGAGCTGGGGGTCCGGCACGTGATGTTCACCATAGTCCCAGCCCACAGCCTCCCAGGAGTCCCATCCAGCCAGGGCACCTGGATGATGGGCCCATCTGTCGGGGAGAGAGGAGGGTTGGAGGGTGGGGGATATGTCAGACGTTCTATTTGGCTGATCCCAGCTGTTCCACCCCATAGCTGGCTGCATTGTGAGGCCTATTGAGCCAGGGGCTGGGGTATGTGGGGAAACTGGGTTTCCCCTGGGGGTGTTATGCTCATCCACTCCTCCCCAGAGCTGGATGCATTAAAGGGGGCCAGTGAGGGCAGGCTGTTTCGCCGCCCCCCACAGAGCTGGGTGCATCCTGGCTCCAAGTGGGCCTGAAGAGCTGGGATGAAGGGCTGGCTTCCCTGTTCCCCAGCTGCTCCACCCCAGAGCTGGGCGCATCCTGGTCTCAAATAAGCCTCAGAGAGCAGCTGAAGAGGGTAAGGGGTGAGTGGGGGGTGAGCAGATCCCTGCCAGGCCAGGACTGAGCCTATGTAGGCTGGGGGCAGAGGGGAAGGTGGGTTGGGGGCTGGAGGTGGGGTGCCTTACCAAGCACGGAGACCCGGAGCTGGGTGAATTGGTGCCTGTAGATGTATTTGAACTCCTGTTGCTCCACACAGAAAACATAGGTCCCAGTGTCGCTGGTCTGGATGTCCTGGATGTCCAGGGAGCAGTCTTCAGGGCCCTCAAGGGCCGGAACTGGCCCTGGGCCTCGTCTAAGACCTTTCGAGATGGGTCATTGGTGGCCATGGGGGAGCCCAAGAGGTAATCTGCCAGTGTCTTGAACCAGTAGCCGTGGAACTTGTGCCTGGGGTAGGATGCATCCTCCAAGGAGGGGTAGGTGAAGCGACAGGGGATGCGGCCACAGACGCTGTGCTGGACCCTGACTTCATCCGGGAATGTCAACAAGAAGTGGGTGGATTGGGGCTCCTGGGAAAGGGACCCTGTGAGGATGGAGAGCTGGGATGGATGGGGATGGAATGCACAGCTGGTGACCCTCACCCCTGACCTGCAGCCCCCTGCCGCCTCCTGGTCCCCCTCACTCCCAGCACGCAGCCCCCTGAACCCACCAGCCCTGCTGGCGACCCTTACTCCAGGCCCACAGCCCCCTGTTCCCCAAGCCCTGTTAGTGCCTCTCACTCCTGACCTGCAGCCCCCTGTGCTCTCCCGATGCCCCTCACTCCTGACCTACAGCCCTCTGCCCCCACAGCACTGCCGATGCCACTCCCCTGCCCCTCACTCCCAACCCACAGCCGCTACCACCCCAAGCTCTGCTGGTGCCCCTCACTCCCAACCTGCAGCCCCCTGCCTCTTACCCCTCCAGAGCAGGGCAAGGATCAGGGCTCTCAGCATCACTGTGGGGTGAGCTTGAGTTCCTGTCCCCCTGCCTGGGCCCCGATCCTTAGATTCATTTCCCATCTCCAGGGGTCTGGTCTTGCTGGAGAAAGACCTAGACAAGGGCAGGATAGAGAACCCAGACATCCAGCTCTCAGCCCCCCACAGCCCCCACTGCCCTCCCAGAAAAACCAGGTGTCTCTGCTCGAAGCCTAGAGCAGGTTGAGTGGGTCCAGATGCTGCAGCCATCTACACTGTTTCCCCCAACACACCCTGCTTCCCCCGCCACACCTAAACTCACTTGTTGGGGGCACTGAGGCAGGGAATTCCCCTGCCTGGTGCTTCCCTGAGGTTGGGGGGAGTGATGGGCATCAGCAGGGCTAGCAGGGGTCAGGGGGCTGCAGGTCAGTAGTGAGGGGCACCAGCAAGTGGGAAACAGTGTGAACAGGAAGCAGAAAGCAGAAGTAGGAGCCGGGGGGGGGGGATTTACAATAATCTCTCACAACAGCCCCTGCCCCCTGCCCTGCAAGGAGAGGAGGCTGCAGCAGACTTGTCTGGAGGACACCCACGGCTCTATCCCCTCAGCTTGGCTCTCAGTCCAGGGATCCTGACTCTCCCACCTCCGTCCGGAGAACCCAGGCATCCGGGGCCCCTGCTCTCAGCCCCGGCCCCCACGCTGCTCCCAGAGCCGGAGAGAACCCAGGCGTCTGGCCTCCCAGCCCCAGCTGCCAACCACAGCCCCCGCCTCCTGCCCCGCCTTGATCTTAGCCTCTTCCCCAAAGGCTTTTCCATGGCATCTTTGGCCCCTTTGACCCACTACCACTTACCCGGTTGGAGCTGGGGGCTGGGGGTGGCTGCAGAGGCCTCCTGTGCCCCAACATGGCCCAGCTCTGGGGTGGACCTGCTGGGGAAGGGCCTAGTGGAACAGCTGGTTCCTGTTTGGAACAGGAAATGGGGACCCTGGGCTGGACAGAGCTGAAGCCAAGGCTGGGGCAGGTGCTGGCAGGGCTGGAAGGAGAAGTAGCTGAGATCAAGGCCTAGGTGGGGTTTGGCACCTCCCTCCTGTCATGAGAGAGAACCCAGGCATCCAGGCTCATAAAAACCCCTGCTCTCACCCCCATGACCCCTAATGCCCAGAGAACCCAGGTGTCCAAGCTCCCAGAAGCCCCTGCTCTCTCCCCCGCCAGCCCCGACTCCCCCCTGAGCTGGAAGGAATGCAGGAGTCCCAGGTCCCAGCTGCAGAGGATGGATGGAGATGGATGGGGGGTGGGAGGCGGGGCAGACAGCACATCCTCTTCCCACCACTAGGGGGCGCCAGGGGACTGGGAATTCCCCTGCCTTGATCAGGCACCCAGGGACCAGAGCTGGGCAGGCATCTGGGCTCCCAGAACCACCTGCTCTCACCCTCGCTGACCCCCAATGCCCAGAGAACCAAGGTGTCCCAGCTCCCAGGACCCCTTGCTCTCACCTCTGGGACACCCCCCTCCCCCGCTTTTGTCCTAGAGAAACCAGGCGTCCAGGCTCCAGGGCCTCCCAACTCACACCTGTGCCACCCCAGAGCCAGCCGCATCCTAGGGCTTCTTATATCCAGGGGTGGGGAGTAGGGTCTTGTTGGAGAAGGGATACTGGGAACCCAAACGCCTGGGTTCTCTGAAGCTCTGGGAGGGCAGTGGGATCTAGTTGGGGGGGCTGGGAGCCCAGATGCCTGGGTTCCTGTCAGCTTTGAGGACGCTTCCACGTCCCTGATCCAGTCTACAAGGGACAACCCAACCCTGCCTTTTTTGGGCTGGAACCCAGGCATCCAGGTACCTGGGCATGGTGCCCAGCCCTGGGCCTGCCTCGTGATGCCGGGCACTGATGAGAAAGGAGGAAGCGCGGGCGCGGGCGCGGACGTGACCTGGGTGCACGCACGTCACTTGCTCCGGCCTTCTTGGAACCTGCCACAAAAGGGCCCAGATGTCCCAACCTCACCCGGACGCCTGGGTTCTCTGACTCGGGGAGGGGAGGGGAGGGGCAGGGATGGCACACGCCACAACCGCAGGGGAAGTGGAGGAAACCCAGGCATCCAGGCTCCCGTCTCACCCCCCTGAGCGGACGCTCCCAGGCCCCACTTCCCTCCCATAGCTGTGATAGACCCCAAGCGTCCAGGCTCCCAGTCCCCCTGCTGACCCCCCGACCCCAGTTTCCTGCCCAGACCCGGGAGAGAACCCAGGCATCTGGGCCCCCAGCCCCCCACTCTGACCCCCAGCCCCTGAACCAGACCTGGGAGAGAACCCAGGCATCCGGGCCCCCAGCCCCTTTCCCAGAACCGGGAGAGAACCCAGATGTCCAGGCCCCCAGCCCTATTCTCAGACCTAAAAAAGAACCCAGGCATCCAAACCCCCAGCCCCCTTCCCAGACTGGGAGAGCACCCAGGCGTCCGGGCCCCTTACCTCCCCTCTCTCAGAGGCTGGGGATAACCCCAGGAGTCCTGGGCCCCTTTCGGGGTGACTGAGTCCATGCCCCCCCGGGGGGTTTCTTGGTAGCAGCAGGGGAGGGGAGGGGGTGGGGGCTGACTATATCTCCCCCCTCAGCTTCCTCCCAGGCCCCAGTCTGGCCTATGCCCACATCCTCTGCGGTCGCCACCTCCCTGGCCAGTCAGCTGGTAGATCCTGAACGGACTGCTGGGTTCTTCCCTCTCAGTGAGATGCAGCCTACAGACTCAGCCAGAGCTGGTGAGTAGGGTTCCTGAGGCTGGGACAGGGCTGGGGGGGGACCCAGACACCTGGGTTCTCTCCCAGGCAGTGGGGTCTGGGGAGGGGTGAGAGCAAGGCGGGGGTCTAGGAGCCCAGATGCCTGGGTTCCCTCCCCAGCTCTGGGAGGGAGTAAAAGGGGAAGCTGGTTGTCAGGACTCCAGGCTTCAGTGTGGGGTGGCAGGTTACAGATTGGGAGCCCAGATGCCTGGGGTCCATCCAGCACAGCAGGATGGGAGGGGGATTGGGGGCTCCGAGTGGGGCACTAGACACCCGGACACCTGGGTTCTCCCGTTCTGGGAGCTGAGCAGGTGCTGGCTGCTGGGCGCCTGGGCCCCCTGGGCCACAGGGCTGGGTGGGTGGGGGCTTCAGCATCCCATACTGGTGGGGCAGAGTGTCACCCCCAGGGCTGTTGGGGGGCATGGGGGCAGATGTTGTGGGGTGCTGCCCCCCTGCACTGTAGGGGCAGGAAGTGAGGAGGAGGAAGGCAAGGCGGTGACGCAGGGCAGGGTGTTGTAATCCCCTGCCCTCACCTCGCAGGGAACCAAAGCGTCCAGGCCCCCAGCTCTCCCTGGGTACATGTACCAGCCCCCACTCCCCTCCCAGAACTGGGGAGAACCCAGGCCCATGGCTCTAAACAATCTGCTACAGGTGGGAGCCTGGATGCCTGGGTCCTCTCCAGCTCTGGAAGGGGCGTGAGACCTGATGGGTCACAGCAGGGTGAGGGCACCAGAAGCACGGACACCTGGGTTTCTTCCACACTCTGCAAGGCAGAGCTATCTGACCCCTAACAGCCTGGATGCCTAGGTTCATGGCCTGGATGCCTGGATTCTTGCCTAGCTCCAGGAATAGAGATAACTATTGCCATAGAACCAGTAGAATTGGGAGCCCAGATGCCTGGTTTCTCCAGGAGGGGTGTGGGGCCTCTGGACGCCACCTGCCCAAATACCTGGCCCCCTAATACTCTCCCCCACCCTACAGAGGCTGTTGCGGATCCTGGTGCCCCCATCATTGGCCTGGTCCTGGCCATCTACATCATCACCTTCATCACAGGGCTGCCCACCAACCTCCTGGCCCTGGTGACCTTCGTGCGCCAGGTCCGGCACCGGCCCAACCCTGGCGCCGTGCTGTTGCTCAGCCTCACCGTGTCTGACCTCCTCCTCCTCCTCTTCCTGCCCTTCAAGATGGCTGAGGCAGGAACCAACATGACCTGGCAGCTGCCTGTCATTCTGTGCCCCATCACCAACTACTGCTACTACACCTGCATCTACGTCAGCACCCTCTTCCTCACAGCGCTGGGGGTGGACCGCTACCTCAGCGTGGCCTTCCCGGTGCAGTACAAGCTGCGGCGGCGGCCGGCCTATGCCATGGCAGCCAGCGTGGCCTTCTGGGTGTTGGCCTGTGCCCACTGCAGCGTCGTCTTCATTGGAACCTACTACAGGAAGCATGGGCTGAGCCAGAAGTGCTATGATAACTTCTCCTCAGACCAGCTCCATGTGGTGCTGCCCTTCCGCCTGGAGCTCTCCCTTGTTCTCTTCTGGCTCCCAGCCACCATCACCATCTTCTGCTATGTCAACTTCGTGCGGATCCTCCTGGCGCTGCCCAACATCCCGCGGCGGAGGAAGCACCGGGCTGTGGGGCTAGCTGTGGCCACCTTGGCCAACTTTGTCATCTGCTTCGCGCCCTACAACATCTCCCACGTGGTGGGATTTGTGGAGAAGCGGAGCCCCCCATGGCGGATCTATGCCCTGCTCCTCAGCACCTTCAATGCCTCCCTGGACCCTGTCGTCTTCTACTTTTCCTCCAATGCTGTCCGCAAGGCCTTCGTCACGTGCCTCACCAGTGTGGCAGGCCGGGTGCGGGGGGCCGGGCCACAGGGGCCCTGCCTGGTCACCAGCCGGGAGCAGGGAGAGGACACGCGGACAGGGAGTGGGGACGAGCTGGAGGGGTCATCTGGGTGAGGCGGAGCCTGACTCTAGATGAGAAGCTGGCCTCCTGTGTGGGCTGCCCTGGGGAGCTGGAGGAAGCTGGGGGGCTGCAGGCTCCAGGTGTCCTTCTCTTAGGTGCTGTTGTATTGGTGGGAGGGTCGGGGTTGGTGCCTACCTTCTGCTTCCAAGATGGCAGACAACTCCTACAAGGCTTTGGTCTACTCTTGCTTCCAAGATGGTGGGCAACTCCCACAAGGCTTTGGCCTACTCTTGCTTTCAAGTTGGTGGTGTACTCCCACAAGGCTTCAGCCTACTCCTGCCCCCAAGATGGAAGCTGATTCCTATGAGACTTTAGCCTAATCTTGCTTCCAAGGTGGCAGACAACTCCCACAAAGCTTCCGCTTACTTCTTCCAAGATGGTAGCCAACTCCTACAAGGCTTCAGCCTGCTCCCACTTCCAATATGACTCCTGACTCTCACCAGGCTCTGGTCTACTCCTTCTTCCAACCTGGCAAACACCTCCTACAAGGCTCTAGCCTACTGCTGCTTCCCAGATGGCAGCCAACTCCCACAAGCCTTTGGCCTACTCCTGTTCCCAAGATAGCGGCCAATTCCCATAAGACTTTGGCCTACTCCTGCTTCCAACCTGGCACCCAACTCCTACAAGGCTCCAGCCTACTCGTCTTCCCAAGACAGCATCCGCCTCCCAAAAGGCTCCAGCCTGCTCCATGATGCTAAGCAAAGCCATTGGCTCCTGCAGGCTTTGGCCCACTGAGCCCAACCCGTCTCCTGCCTTGAGATTAAAAATGGCTCAACCCCAGCCTAATAACCCTCCTTACTGCTCCTGGACTTCCCATCTCCCTCCATGACTCCTCCAACCCCACCCTCTGCTCCAATGGAGGATGGGAAACCAGCAGGGACAGTGGAGAAGCCAGCCATGGGCTGGTGAAACGGGGGCCAGATTCTGGGAATGGGAGGAAGTCTGGGGGGATGGGTAGGAGCCCAGACATCTGGGTTCTTTTCCTGGGAACAGACGGGACCCTGTTCCCTGGGGTGGGGGCAGGGTACTGGGCTAATTTCAGTGGGGCCTAGAAAAATGGCTGCCGGGCCCTGTGCTCTAATAGGGAACTACCAGCTCTTTCGCGGTGCCTGACACCCTCCGGTGGCGATGGTGGGAGTCACAGGCGGGGGAAAGCAGCAATACATGAGGATTTATTTATTAAACTGGGTTTTGTAAGATATTTTTTTAGGATTACTCAGGGCCGAGAGGAGGAGGGAGCGGGAAGCCCAGATGCCTGGGTCCGTCCGTGGCTCTGGGAGAGGGCAGGGGGGCAGGCAGCCAGACCACCTGGATTCTGGGGTATACTGGGAAAGTGAGTGTGGATTGCGGGGGTTACGGCAGGGGGTGGAGCCAGAGCCGGGATGCCTGAGTTCTCTCCTGCTCTTGGGACTTAGCCTTGGTGACCCAATTGGATGGATTCCAGGTTCCGCCCACTGGGGACTGGGCCCCTGGGCTATTTTTAGCTGTCTGCACAGAGACACTGCCCCACCCCCGCACTGGCCCCCCCAGCTGCTGTCAGGGCCCACTGGGAGCCCAGGTCAAGGAGACATTTGAAGAGCTGAGGATGGACCCAGGTGTCTGAGCTCCCAGCCCCACCTATTCTAACCCATCAAACCCCATTCCCCTCCCAGAGCTGGAGAGAACCCAGGCATCCGGACTCTCAGCCCCCACTGCTCTCTCCCCCCAGTCCCAGTCCCAGTCCCAGTCCCAGTCCCCACTCCCCTCCCACAACTGGAGAGAACCCAGACATCCAGGCCCCTGTCCTAGACCTGCAGAGAATGCAGACCCCACTTGCTCTGACCCTCCACCTCCTCTCCCCTGCCAGAGCTGGGGAGAGCCAAGGTGTCCAGGTCTACCAGTTCCCCCGCTCTCACTCCCCAGCTCCCACTCCCCTCCCAGAACTGGAGAGAACCCAGGCGTCCGGCTCCCAGCCCTCTGCAGCTCTGCCCCCCCTGGACCCCGCTCCCCTCCCGTCCTGCAGCCTGCGGTGGGGGAGGAATTTCCTCCCAGGGGAGGGGACACTATTTAATTGGTTGTTGTCTCCTGAAAGCCTCATTCCCCCACGTGATCCGAGCTGTCTCTGTCACGTCCTGGACTCCTGGGTTCCCTGGAGCCACTGCAGGCAGCAGAGAGCAGGTGGGGACTGGAGAGGGCTATGAAATTGAGGATGGGTGTGGAGAGCATGGACGCCTGGGTTCTCTCCAGCTCTGGGAGGGGAGTGGGGGTTAGGGCAGGGCTCAGGCAGCCTGGATGCCTGGGTCCTCTCCAGCTCTGGGAGGGGAGTGGGTCTGGGGGGGTTAGATCTGGGAGTCTGGGCACCTGGGTTCTCTCTGGCTCTGGGAGGGCAGGGGGGACTGGAGGTTACAGCTAGGGAGCTGGGAACTGTCCACAACTGTCTACCTCTGCCCCTGCTCCCCAGGGGAGTTAGGCTGTGGCCAGCTGCCCGGGTTCTCTCCTTGCCCCCAGCTCTATGCAAATCTCCTTTGTGCTGCAGGTAACTGGCAAATCCAGGAAACAAAACGGTGACAGGAGCTCAGTGGACAGGGCGGGGCGGTGTTGGGGGGGGCGGGAGCGGGAAACCGGACGCCTGGGTTCTCTCCAGCTCAGGGAAAGGGTGGTTGGGGGGGGAGGTGAAAGCAGGAGGGGCTGGGAGCCCAAACACTTGGATTCCACTCCAGCTCTGGGGACGGACTGGATTCTGATGGGTCAGGACGGGGGGGCTGGGAGCCTGGACGCCTGGGTCCCACCCCAGCTCTAGAAGAGGTTGGGGAGGTAGCTTGGGGGGAGAAGGGCAGATACCTGGGTCCTCCCCAGCACTGGGAGGGAAGTGGGGTTTGATGGGTTAAAGTAAAGGGGGGCTGGATCCTCCCCAGCTCTGGGAGGGGACCAGGGGCAGGTGGCTCCCTGAGGGTCCTGGAGCTGGGGGCTGTAAGGCCCCGATTCTGGCATCTGGGTGCCCTCCCCGCACAGTCATGGGAACCCACATCAGAGCCACCCATCTGGGCCATGGAGGGGGAAGTGGTTTTACCAGGTCCGGAAGCACACGAGACTGCTTCTGCGGAAAGAAACCAGGCGTCTGAGCTCCTCCATCCCACCCAGGCTCTAACCACTACATAACTCTCCTGTCCCATTGATTGGAAGGGAACCCAGGTGTCCAGGCTCCCAGCCCCACCTTTGCTAACCCCCCAGACACAGACCTTCACCACCCCACTGCCTCTGGCACGGGGCAAATGGGAAGCAGGTGTAAATCAATCATACGGCACTGGGTAAAAACCCACTGTCAGGCAGGCAGGGCTGGCAGCCTGGACACCTAAGTTCTCCCCTAGGAAAAGAGTGGGAGCATCAGAGCCTGGTGTGCTGGGAGCCCGGACACATGGGTTCTCCTCTAGGAAAGATAGGGGTGATGGTCAGGGAGCCCAGATGCCTGGGTCCTATCGAGCTGCAGTAGGCGATGTGGGTCAGGCTGAGAGACTGGGCTTTGGGTCCCCTTACCGCTTACCTGCTCCTTCCCGCAGGCGATGGCCTTCCATGACAAGTCACTGATCCTCTTTGTCTACATCTTCACCTTCATCACGGGACTGCCTGCCAACCTCTTCGCCTTTGCCACCTTCGTGCGCCAAGTCCAGCGCCGGCCCAGCCCTGTGGCCGTGCTGCTGCTCAACCTCACCGTGTCCGACCTCCTCCTCCTCATCTTCCTCCCCTTCAAGATGGCTGAGGCGGCTGCCGATATGACTTGGCCACTGCCAGCTTTCCTCTGTGCCCTGACCAACTACTGCTACTACAGCAGCATCTACCTCAGCACCTTCCTCCTTATGGCTGTCAGTGTGGAGCGCTACTTAGGCGTAGCCTTCCCGGTGCAGTACAAGCTGCGGCGGCGACCAGCCTACGCCGTGGCAGCCAGTGCAGCCTTCTGGGTGCTGGCCTGCTCCCACTGCAGCATTGTCTTCATCTCCGAGGCCCAGGCACCCAGCGCTAATGCCACCAACATCTCCCAGTGCTACAATGACTTCTCGGTAGACCAGCTGCGGGTGGTGCTGCCTGTCCGCCTGGAGCTCTTCCTCTTCCTCTTCTGCCTCCCGTTTGCCATCACTGTCTTCTGCTACGTCAACTTTGTGCGGATCCTCCTGGCCCTGCCCAACATCCCGCGGCGGAAGAAGTGCCGGGCAGTGGGGTTAGCCTTGGCCACCTTGGCCAACTTCATGGTGTGCTTCGCCCCCTACAACATCTCCCATGTGGTGGGATTTGTGAATAACGAGAGCCCTCCGTGGCGTATTTATGCCCTGCTCCTCAGCACTTTCAATGCCTCCCTGGACCCTATCATCTTCTATTTCTCCTCCTCTGCCGTCCAGAAGGCCCTGGTGGGGTCGTGGCTGGTGCTGAGGAACCGGCTGTATGCTGCAGTGCCCCGCTGCTACTGCCTGCGTGGAGGCAGGGAGGACCAGGCGGGCAACGGGGATGAGGTTGAGGCCGAGGGGTCATCCACCTGAGCCACCCTCCATGGCCATGAAAAAGGGGCGGATGGTCGTCGGGGCAGAATTTGGAGGCCCAAAGGGGTTGTGTGGGCCGTGACTGCCACTAGGCTGCAGCCTAATGCTGCTTCTGAGGAGGTACCGACCTCCATGAGCCTCCGGCTTACTTTGGCTAATGACTCTGGGCCCAAATTAAAACCATAGAATCACAGAGAAATAAGACATGAAGGACCAGGGGGTCACATCTAGACCAACCCACTGCTCCAAGCAGGACCAGCCCCAGCTTCATCATCCCAGCTAAGGCTTATTCTACCTGGGTTTTCAAAACCTCAAGGATGGAGACTCCATCACCTCTCTGGGTAGCCTGTTGCAGTGCTTTACCACCCTCCTAGCGAAAAGGTTTTTCCTAATATCCAGCCTCAATTTCCCTTGCTGCAACTGGAGCCCATTGCTCCTTGTTCTGTCATCTGCCCCCACTGAGAACAGCCCAGCTCATCCTCTTTGGATCTACACTGCAGGGAGTTGAAGGCTGCTGTTCAGTCCCCGCCCCCCAGTCTTCTCTTCCGCAGACTCAATAAGCCCAGTTCCCACAGACTCTCCTCATCTGTCCTGAATCCTCTTTGTTGCCTTCTGCTGAACTCTCTTCAATCCTTTCTGTACTGGAGGGTCCAAAACTGGACACAGGTCTCCAGATGTGGCCTCCCCAGTGCTGAAGAGGGGAATAATCACTTCCCTTGACCTGTTGGTTCTGACTCAGCTTCTTGTCCCCTGTCACCACCAGGTCCTTCTTTGCAGACCTGCTGCCAAGCCAGTCAGCCCCCAGCCTGTACCGGTGCATGGGATTGTTCCATCCTAAGTGCAGGACTTTGCATGTGTCCTTGTTGAACCTCATGTGATTCTTTTGGCTCAATCCTCCATTTTGTCAAGGTCACTCTGAATCCTAGCCCCACCCTCCAGCATATCCGCTACTCCCCCCAGGTTGGTGTTGTCTGCAAACTTGCTGAGGGTGCACTCTGCCATCTTCCAGGTCATGGATGAAATATTGACCAAAACCAGCCCCAGGACCAACCCCTGGGGCACTTCACCGGCCACCAACTAGACACCAAGCCATTGATTACTACCCTCTGAGCCCGACGCTCCAGCCAGTTTTCTATCCTCCAGTCCATTCATCCGACCTGGACTTCCTTAGATTGATTGCGAGAATGTTGCAGGAGACCATATCAAAAGCCTTGCTAACATCAAGGTATACCACATCCACCGGTCTCCCTGCATCTGCAGAGCCAGAGGATCTGCTCCATGACTTTTCCACAGGCTGAGGTGAGGCTGTAGTTCCCTGGATCCTCCTTCTTCCTTTTCTTAAATATGGACAATAGATTTGCCCTTTTCCAGTCATCCAGGACCTCTTCTCATCTCCATGAGTTTACAAAGATGAGGCCAGCAGCTCTGCAGTCACATCAGCCAACTCCCTCAGCACCCTCAGGTGAATCCCATCTGGCCCCATCGGTTTGTACACGTCCAGCTTTTCTAAATAGTCCCTAACTTGTTTTTTTACCCTGAGGGCTGCTCCCCTCCTCCCCAAATAGTGCTGCCCAGTGCAGCCTTCAGGTACTTGCCCTTGCTTGCAAAGACTGAGGTGAAAAAGGCTCTGGACGACTGTGGTTAACAACTTTAGGTCCGCTGCTCCAATGCTCCGGCCTAACTTGGCTAACGAGCCTGGGCCCAACTCCCCCAAAGGCTCCAGCATGCTGCAGCTAATGAGACTGGGCTCCATTTCCTCCAGGCCCCCACTTCGTTCATTGGCCCAACTCCACACAGGCTCCAGCCCACTTCAAAGACAACTCCAGGCCCAACTCCAACAAGGCTCTGGCCTGTTGTACTGCTTCTACAGAGAGGCATCAACTTCTGTGAGGCTTTGGCCTACTTCGGCTTCTGAGCTGGCCGGCTGTCCTGCTCTGCCTTCAGACCTGGGGTCCTGGCTCACTTCAGCTTGTAAACTGGTCCCGCTACTCCCACAAGGCTTCGGCCTACTTCAGCTAAGAACTCCAGACCCAACTCCGACAAGGCTTTGGCTCAGTGGCGTACCATGGGTCTCTGGCGCCTGGGGACCAATGCTTGCATTTGTGCCTCCCCTCAACTCAGGGATGATCCAAGCAGTGTGCAAAGCTCCCTCTCCCACCCATGCACTTCTGCAGGGAAACTGAGATGCACACCGGATGCCAGGGGAGCAATGGTGGCTGGGATTTCCGCCCATAACAGGCAAAGAAATGTAGAACCCGCTGGGCAGGAGGGTGGGCCACGCATCAAAAGCGGGAGGCGCCATGGCCTCTTGGACTGGCTGGTGCCCCACCCCCGGCCGGCATCCAGGGGCCATGGACCCCTCCCCCTGCTCGGTACGCCACTGCTTTGGCCTACTCCAGCTAACAACTCTGAACCCAACTCCCACAAGGCTTTGGCCTACTCTGGCAAACGACTCTGGGCCCAATTCCTGCCTGGCTCCAGCCTGTCCTTGTAGGTTTGGCTTCCCCTGACATCTATCTTACCACATTTGCGGGTGTCTGTGATGCCTCTTGACCCTGCGGCCCCCCCTCCGGCTCCCGGGGGCCACAGCTGCCTCAGGAAGAGGAAGTTTCTGGCTGACACAGGAACCCCAGGACTGACATGTAGCAGGGAGGATGATGGAGGACCGAAACCTTGACGCAAGATCCCTCCACATACACCACCAGCCTGAGCATGGCAGGATTTCCAGGGAGTCCATGGTATCGACCAGCTGGGGGTCTGGGCCCCGCTGCCCAGCTGGCTTGGAAGGCAGCGGTATTAAGGCTGTTATCCGAGCCTAACAGCACAGCTCAGGACTCAGCTCAAGGAGCCCCGCAGTGGTACTGGAGCTGTTAACCACCCCGCAGGTGGCTGGTGGGGAACTCACCCCAGGGCAGGGCCATGCATCTGGCTTCTGTGGCTGTGTGTGTGGGGCAGAGGTGCCCCAGCAGGGGGTAACATCCGTTTCCCTGCCTCGCTGGCCCACAACCCACCAAAACCCCTGCTGTATCCAAGGATAAAACCCAGAACAGTGAGAATTCACCCAGCCCCTCGACTGGTCTCCTGAGCTAATTCATGATGGGGTGGGGCTGGGGACACCTGGGGTCTCTCCCCACTCTGGGAGGAGAGAAGGGGGCCAGGGAGGGTCAGAGCAGGGGGGCTGGAAGCCCGGACTCCTGGGTTCTCTGCCTGCTCTGGAAGGGGAGTGAGGCCTGATGGGACACAGTAGGGGAGACTGCGAGCCTGGACACCTGTGTTCCATCCACGCTCTGCAAGGCAGAGCTCCCTGACACCTAACGACCCGGACGCCTGCGGTCTTGGCCCGAATGCCTGGGTTCCTCCCCAGCTCTGGGAATGGAGGGATGTGTATTGCCTTAGAGCCAGATGGGTTGGAAGCCCGAATGCCTGGGTTCCATCAAAGTTCCTGGAGAGGTGTGGGATGTGTCCTGGCAGACCCCTTGGATGCCTGGTTTCTCCGGGTGGGCCACAGGGCCTCCAAAGGCCGCCCGCCCAGATACCCAGCTTGTAAATCCTCTTCCCATCCCCACAGAGGCTGTTGTGGAGCCCAGTGCGCACATCAAGACCCGTGTGGTCCTGGCTGTCTACATCCTGGCCCTGGTGACCTTTGTGCACCAGGACCGGCACCAGGCCAACCCCAGCACTGTGCTGCTGCTCAACCTCACTGTGCCCAACCTCCTCCTCCTCTTCTCCCTCCTCTTAAAGATGGCAGAGTCAGGCATGGAAATGACCTGGTAGTTGCCCGCTGTGCTGTGCCCTATTACCAACTACTGCTCATACAGCCGCATCTACCTCAGCATCCTCTTCCTCAGGGCGCTGGGCGTGGACCACTACCTCAGCGTGGCCTTCCCAGTGAAGTACAAGCTGCAGCAGCAGTCGGCCTATGCCACAGAGGCCGGAATGGCTTTCTGGGTGCCGGCCTGCACCCACTGCAACATTGTCTTCATCAGGCGCTACTATGGGCAGTGCGGGCTGAGAGTTGCTACAACTTCTCCCAGGACCAGCTCCACATGGTGCTGCCCTTCTGCCTGGAGCTCTTCCTCATCCTCTTCTGCCTCCTGGCTGCTGTCACCATCTTCTGCTACTTCAATTTCAGGGGCTTTTCTCTTAGGCACCATTGGATTCGTAGGGGGGAGTTGGTGCCTGGGTTGTGCTCCCAAGATAGCAACCAAGTTCTCCAAGGTTTCGGCCTACTCCTGTTTCCAAGCGGGTGACCAAATCCTACAAGGCTTTGGCCTACATCTGCTTGCAAGATGGCAGCCAACTCCTGCAAGGGGTTGGCCTACTTCTTCTTCCAAGATGGCAGCCAATTCCTACAGGGCTTTGGTCTGCTCCCACTTCCAACATGGCTCCTGAATCTCACCAGGCTCTAGCCTACTCCTCCTTCCTGCCTGGCATCCAACTCCTACAAGGCTCCGGCCTACTCCTGCTTCCCAGAAGGCAGTCAACTCCCACAAGGCTTTGGCCTATTCCTGCTTCCAACCTGGCATCCAACTCCTACAAGGCTCCGGCCTACTCCTGCTTCCCAGAAGGCAGTCAACTCCCACAAGGCTTTGGCCTATTCCTGCTTCCAACCTGGCATCCAACTCCTACAAAGCTCTGGTCTAATCCTGTTCCCAAGATGTGTCCACCTACCATAAGGCTCCAGCCTGCTACAAACGCTAAGCAAAGCCATTGGGACCTGCAGGCTTTGCCTCACCGTGCCCAACCCCGTCGTCTGCCTTGTGATTAAAACTAGCTCAGGCCCAGGTTAACGATCCTTATTATTGCTCCTGGACTTCCTGTCTCCCTCCATGATTCCTCCAATCCCACCAATCAATACTCTGATGAGGGAGTGGAAACCAGCCCAGACAGTGGAGAAGCCAGCCATGGGCTGGTGACACTGGGGCTGGGGCATGTTGGAGACCAGACTCTGGGAATGGGATGGGGCATGGAGGGCTGAGCAGGAACCCAGACAGCTGAGA